ACATTTCCCAAAACGTATAGTATAAAATTTATCCATCTCGGGAAGAAGCCACAATTTTTTTCTCTCTATAACTATTAATCGAAATTTCATGTTACAAGCCTCATTGTAAATCATTTTAATCCTGAATATTGATTTTCCAGTAGTCGTGGCATTCGCTTGGCCTTGCAGGCCAGGATGAGTAATTAATCGAAGAATGCCAGAGCAATTAACAGCTATTATCGCTGGAGAACGATCTTCTCAGCCGTTTAAGTGACGTCAGTATCCGCGTTTTATTGTTTACCGCAAGGATCACGGACCCGAATGATCTTACCACGCGACCTTCACCCGAAGAAACGAGTTCCTCCGTTGATCGAGGCTTTTACGCGCAACGTTACGAAATCGCGGTTGGGGAGACGATTTCTACGCCAGCGGCGATAGGCAGGACTGTGTTAAACCTCCGTGGGCCCTGCTCACTTAGTGCCACCCCTTCGTTTCCCCCCGATATAATTTTTAAAAAGAAATTAAGACGTTGTATCGACAGTGGGAATAAAATAAAAATCTTCAAATTGTTAAAATCTTATATAGAACTTTGTTCATCGTCTAATAAAATTCTGTCCATTGAGTGCCGTTATTTACATTATAAACAGCATCGCGCAGAGCACTGCTAACCTGGATATTATGCACGGTGAAAGAGCTCCAACATAATCTATGGAATCATTTCAATGTCGATACAACTTGTATGCAAATAGTCGAGGAAGAATAATAATAAGCGAAGGACATGTGTGTTTGCAAAAAATATGACCTTTCGATGAATAACTGGTTAATTATACAATTATCAATCTGGAACATTTGAAGAAAAAGTAAACTGTTAAGATAACTTTTAAGAGAAATGAATATTGTATTTTCTAAAACTATGTTTAAATTAGTCTAATTATATCGTAACGATTAATAATTAATACGATGGCCCAATATATTTGATCACTAATGTATATTCCAAGTCTCTGGAAAATCCATTAGATATTGACTTAGTAATTGCCGCAAAGTAAGTGACAACACTAATATATAATACATACGTAAGACAATACTGCCTAAGTGATTATAAAAAGCGTATGGTATTCTAAGTAAGCACATGTTTACTCGTGCGTTGAAATAAATAGACGGTACACTCATGCAAACCAAAACGATATATATCAACATTTATTGCAAACGAAGATAACATTTGTTATTAAAATATTACTATTATTCTTGTATCTATTGACACTTTTTTTATTCCTTTGACACGTGTGATGCAGTTTGCTCTTGGTTTTTTTTTAACACTTTGTATGCACGAGTCGCTTAACCTCGCGACCTAAAACGACTCGTAAACCTTAAGTTTTGTGCAAACGTAGTAAACAAAAAATTTCATGACCATGAGCTTGGGTCATGTACTATGATAACTAGTGTCTCATCACTTTACTTTCTTATCAAAACTAACCCATGGATACCTTTCTCAATATTATTATTTGAATATTTTTATTCAAATACCATTAATCGAATATTATTATTCGAATGTTATTATTTGAATAATAAAATTCGAGTAGTCTCATTAAGAATTGTTACGCAATTCTAGCTAACTAATCGATACAGAGAGTCCGTTTCTCTTTCAATTTTTTGTCCAAAGATCAACGACAAACGTAGAACATGCTCGAAGGACTTTTTAAATTCACGAAAGGGAGAGCCACATGGCCAGAATGCAACTAAGAAACAAACCAGGTGAAATAACTCTCATCTCTTTCTTACCATTCTAACGCACAGTGTATCAAAATGACAAAATCCAAGACGAAAATCATAATTCATGGAGATCAAACTATTGAAATTTGTACGCAGAACGTGAAATTATCAAACTTTATCAAATAGTTTACTGTTCTCCGATTCCATATCATAAATTTGCAAAAGCCTCTTTAATCCGGAATCAAACTACAAATAAATGTTCAAAACTGTGTCCTTAATTTGAATAATTATATAAATAAATGAAGTAAAAAGAAATTGTGTTACTTCATACAGATTTATCGCCCGAAACCCAAATATTAATTAAACCAGAATTGTTAATTGCGAATCTGGATTCCAAAGGGAAATTTTCAAAAATTTCTCTAAGCTAAAAATTGCAACCTCGTACGGATAAACGGTAACCGCGTTGATAATAGAAACCTCGTTGAGCGTCGACGCGTTTAGGATTCCTTTTATATTCGTGTCAAGGATATCGCGAGGATAACGGGAGTCCTTTGTGATTCGCACTTGGAAATGCTCGGATAGAGACGACGCGTGTTCTCTGTTCTATCGTGCTTCCAGTCTTGATCTTTCGGCGTGGTATTCCGTAGAGGCGGTTCAATGAAAGTGATTTCGACGGAAGTACCGCGCACGGAGACGCTTGAAAGGTCTCTGATTACTGCGAAACTGCTGCAGAGGGATCTTCGAATCTCTGTTTATGAAAGCAAAATACGGAGAGATCCCCCGGATCTCTGCGCAGACGGAAATGGGATACGCCATCAAATGGTATACACAGATCTCGATGAATCCTTGGATGACTTCTGATGAGTTTGATTTCTGCAAGGGCTCGAGATTGGGGCTGAGACTGTTCTCTGGATAATAGTATTTACGTATTTCAGTACAATTATTCAAGAATGAAGTACTGTTCAATTAGAATTGTTCGAATATTCAATACTACTCAAGTATCACTATTTCAATATTTAAAACAACTCGAAAGTTACTATTCGAACATACGATGCTATTCGAGTATCATGAGTATTCAATACTATTCGAATACCATTACCTCGATATCGCTACTCTAATACTGGAGTACTATCATTTCAACGTCCTTACAATTATTTTTGTAAATTTCAATGGAAGTATCGTCGTACACGTGTGTGAGGGCATTTCTAATTATTACGAAACTGTAGAAAGGCAATCCCTATAGCTCTGTGTATTGAAATAAAATACCCTGGCCCTTGGATCTCTGATTGGACGAAGCTGTAATATGACACGAGATACTGAATGAAATTCTGGATTAATTAATGCGATCTGCGTTTGCTTTTATTCGTTCATGCATATGTTCGTGAAAATGATTCCGACGGGATTACTGTATATAGAGATGATTGGATTTCTGATTACGAAACTAGAACACGAAAATAAACTTCAGGGACTGTTAAATTTTTTCTTCAATAAAAATGTATTGTGACATTAAATAATGGATAAAATTCTGAATTAATGCAAGCTCTAGTTCGTTTTCCTCGTTTTGAACATTTTATTTTATTTGTTTATTGCATCACGGTCTCATTTTTATTGTCTTGAACGTATTCATGTTTAGTATAAAGTATTCAAGTAATGATATTCGAATAATGAATACTTGTGTGTTCGAACAGAGATATTAAAGTACTCGAGTAATCAAGTATTCTAACAACGATATTTAAATCCTGAACTATTCAAACAAAGATATTCGACTACTTGAATATTCGAAGTTGGGTTATTTATAACAACCCCTAGTTAGTTATTAAATATTACGAGTTCTTCGTAGCATTCGAATTCTCGCCAGGTATTCGAATACAGCATCACGAGTTAGCGAACCGACGAGGGTGTTTTATCCTCACGCGAAATAATTCCATCGTTCCGAAGGGCTTTCATCCCTTTATTTGTTCGACGAATAATATTACCGCGACCACACGAGCGTTTGGTAAATTTGACGAGGGTGTAGTGCCTTACTAGCTTAACCATTTTAACCCACTGTATATCTATCTGTGTGAGTGTGTGTATGTGTTTGGTTTTTTTTCGCTTCTTCTGTTGATAAAGCTGTTCCCCGCATTCCGCAGCCTCTGATCTCAAACGGAACAAACTCGCTGCGGAAACGGATAAATCGCGGTTATTCGATTAGGTTGACTTAAGCGAAGCTTTCCTCTGCTTCACGTTTCCTTGCGCGCGGTCGAATCCTCGACGAAGAAGAGGATCGATTTTCGTCGCTTCATTGAACATCTAATCGCGGGGGTAATGAGTGCGAACGTTATACAGGGTGGACCAGTAACAATAACCGTATCGGACGGCATGCTTGCTTTGGCCATTTCAATGCCGTTATCCGAATACTGCTGTTTAAATGTTAGTATTCTAATATCGTTATCTTATTTATTAAAACAGACAAGAATAGTGCAGCATAGTGAAATAATCATTTAGTACCCGCATAGTGAACTATTTAAAACAGAATATTTGAAACATTCGCTTACTTTTAGCGATTGAAAAAAATGCATCAAAAGGAAGCAAGAATTTTCTTTTATGGTCAAGAATAGGCAATACTTTTATTAATCATATATTATAGATACTACATATAGAAAAATGTAAAATTCAGTTGTATTGCAGAATAAAGATGTATTATTATTATATTATTATTGGTCCATCACGTATACGTAATTTGTAACGCTGTATAGAAATGAAATGAACGGAACGACACACACTTCAGTTTCACAGTACACGTATAATAAGAGACACGGGATGATAATGTTTGGCGACAGAGCTCCAGTGGCTAGAATCGCGGTCCCTGAGTTCGTTGCAAGTATAGTAAACGCAGTGCCGAGGTGCAGAAATGATCGTCTGAAGTTCGATAAACATTGTTTTCAATTGCTCCTTTCCTTTTTTGAGACGCAGGTAGTTTGAAAGTTTGTCTTTTTCAGTGCTGGAGGGATGAGATAGGAAACGTGACAAAGACATAGGAGGTGGAGGAAAGCAACTCTCTCTCGAATTCTTTCGTTTTGAAAGATAGAGCAGTTTGCATTTTCTGGAGATGGAGCGAAGACAATCTGCTGAGATATTATTTAAACGTTATTCGTAAGGATCAAAGGAAACAATGTCTACACGTTTTCAATTGTTAATATATACAAATATTGTAATATATCTCTCTTGTCGAGAACACCGTGACAATAATCCGATTTATTCCAATGAACGATCAATTGTGAACCCAAAACGACACATGCGAGAAATGTTAACATCTGCTGCTCTCTTACCTGTGAACGACGTTGGCCAGCAGGTCATTGTGCCGCAATCTGTAATCAACGTCCACCTTTTGATAGTTAACGGTCAGGGTTCCCGCTATGATACAGCGCTTGTACTCATCCACCGGATGCGCGCGGAACTCTCGTGCAAAAACCTCGAGGATCTTCTCGCCCACCCATCTCCCTTTCGTGAATGTGGTGAAGGTGAAGTAGTAAGGGTACACTTTTCTGAGTCCTGTAACAAAGAACCGTTCGATATTAGATCAGTCAATGGAACCCCTCTACAATCTTTCAAATTACGAGCGCTCGTCGTGTATCCGCGACAAATTTCGAAACCTTACCTGTTAACTTGAGACACTCTACAATCGGCTCCACTGGCACGGCGGGAGTTGAAATTCTCACAATTTCCAGCGAAACAACAGGTGCAACGAGAATTTGCACGTGCGACGATAAATCGCCGCGCGAAGGACACACAGCGACCGTTTACGTAAGCAAAAAGATGATAAGAACGGGTGACCATCCAACTTCTGTCGTCCATTAATCCCGTTATTATAATCTTTAAATAGTGTCGCGATTGTTTCGTAATTAATTACAAATTGGCACGAAGTCCGCGCCAACGCTCCCGACCGAAAATAAACCGCGTCGAAATCGCGCCAATCGTCGTAAATCACGATAAATCCAGCTAGCGGGCGTTAAACGACGACTAACGAGCGATTATCTAGCGAGGAAATTTTCGATTTGTTCAACATTTTGGCCGAGTGTCAACCATCGAGGCCTTTGCTGGACTTTCGTGGACCCTTTTGGATTGCAATAACGAGGAACTTCGCGATTTTCGTTCAAAGTCACCTGAACGTGATTTCTTCTATTAACTACTGTATATAGTAATAAAGAGTATGTGTTCGCAACAGAAAAGACTTTGGAATACCAGAAACAAGGGATTAATTTTAATTTGTAATACACAATTTCATACATTCACGCGATGAATAGTATCCTCTGTTTGCATTACGTTGCTTTTACGTCCTTTTACTACTCAGATCTCAATCTTGCAAATTTAATGGACATGAATTTACGAATTTACGAAAGCTAGAAATAAAGGGAAGTTACATTGAAAATTGATCCCTGTACCTACACGCAGAATGTAATATATCGCAAAGTAATGAGAATCCAGCTGTTTTCGAATGTCGAATAATGTTCAATTTATTTAATTAATTTATATGTAAATTCGTAGGAAGACTAAATTGAAAATGTAAATTCCGAGCGAGGAAGAATTCCATTAACGTACAAAGAGAAATTTAATTCTCAGTACTAATTGTTCATTATTAACGGCATACTTTTGTCACGAAACACGTCAAATTGTAACACAGAATCCTAGTATAAGTCGTCTAAATTAATTCTACTTTGAACATAATTAATTCCTCTTTTAATACCGGCGGAAAGCAAAGACGAAGCTTTCACTGGAGTAATATTTCATCAAGGGATTGTCGATAGCATCGTTTAAAATTGTCGAGCTCCCTTTGTCTTTCGACTTCATCGTAAATAATTCCGTAAATTGCAAAAGTAATATCTAGAACGATATATCGCACGTTCGACCGACAAAACAAAATCGTTCGACTTAATTCGCTTTATCGTTCACGGTCGATGAAGCATAAAAGATTCCGAATGCCGCGATGAATCAACTCCTCTTCCGTTGCAACGTGTAAACATCGATCAGTTTTCAGCAGAAATGTTGGCCCTTCTTTCGTAAATAGGAAGTTCCAATACCCAAATCTCGTAAACAAGAAATTTACACTTTTCTCTTCGTCGAGAGAAAATTTTATTTGATTTTGTGATTTGAAAAAATTTGTTTCGCAAATAACTTCCACTTCGATACCAGCCTCTGTCTCAACAACAAAAATATTCGTTGGCAAATCTAATCCAGTGATGAAAAACGTGTATATCTATCCCTGTTTCAACAACAAGAATGTTTTACGACTCTGCTTCATCACGAATCGGTGGCGATCGTTTTAATGCCCTAGTTCGTCCTTAACGGGTAAAAGAGGGCCGTCATGTGTTGAAAGAAGCCAAAAATGCCGCGACTCCTCCGCCCTGATAACCACAGGTCTCTTACGCGGAAGCGAAGAAAAGAAGAAGATCCGACGATTTCGAAGAAACTGGAAGCGTTTTTGAGGTTTCCCTAACGATTCGTGCGCGACTGACTTTCCTTCGCCATCCTCCCAGGGACTGTCACGCGATAATTAATTCGACTTTTCGGGACGATCGTCTCCGTCTTTCTTTCATCCTACTGCATTCCGCCACGAAATTCGTCGTTGTCGAATTGGGAAGAAACTTTAAAGTCAGATATATTTATTATATAAACGATGGAGGGGAAGAAGCGACGAACGAACGTCGTAAAAGAAAAGACGACAAGAAATCAAAACAAAATCGATTTCCCACGAATTGGTCGCAGCGAGCAGTGAAAAAGGCCAGCGAAGATGGACTCGTCGAAACTTTAACGACGATCAAAGGTGATATTACAAAGAGTTGTGCGAACGACGTGGAATCGCTCGACTCCATTTTCGCAATTAAAATCATTTTAATTAAACACCCGGACAGCTTCGATCGGCCCGCCGAACCGGAAGGGGCGAGCAGACCGCGGATGAAAGGAGAGTGGGCTTCTCCTTTTCAGCGGCTCGCCGAAGAAAGAGATTACCTAGCAATTTATGGAGCGGCTCGAAGTGGGTGTGTCATCGAAACGAGCGCGTCCGCTTGTTCTTTAAAGCGTGAAAAAGGGAATTTTCTATTCTCCCTGGGTGAAGCTCGTCCCCTCCGCGACGCTTTTTAATTAATTGAAACACGGTCACCAGCATTGCTGGATCGCTATTAACCGATATCAAGATATAATAAATTATGAAATCGATTTACTTTCAGCTATAACCGGTATATTCGAAAGGTAATAAATTAAATCTATGATTAACAAGTAGAGTACAAGGCCTTTGATTCAACTGAAACATTGCGTGATAGTAGGTTTAGACATTCCGATTACGAAAATATAGTAATTATAGGAGTAGAAGCTTAATAATTTTTGTTCATTTATGATCGAAGTTTCATTACTAATAATTATCATTTTTCTCCGACGATAGAAATTCACGCAACATGTCAACTACTATCTGTACGAAAATTTCCTTGAAGAGAATTTCCTTGCCTTTCATTTTGGTCATAACATAAAAAACATAAAAGTCATAAAAAATTTGCACGTATTACGTGCCAATGAAACGAAAGAAACTTTTGGGAAAATTTAATACTTTCTGCATTCAGGTACAGGCACAGTGTTAGGAATGACTTATTTACAACTAAAGTATAACCTCGAAAGCCATTGGCGTAGGAGTATGGACGCAGCTGAGTTTTAGAGGTTAAAGTATGCTGTTAAAGAAAAGAAAAGGCATTCGCAAAATGGCAGAAAAATTGTCTACGGGAGCAAGGATCTAATTTGTCGCATTCAATCGATACAAGAGAGGATAAGGAAGAAGACTACCGGAAGGGGAGACGAGAAAATCGACGGGAGGCGGATTGAACAAGCAAGGAGCGGAGAAAAGCGAAGGAAAAGGCGACTAGGGATTCCTCGAAATTCCATGGCAATCGTCCATGGAATTGCAGCGATCTGTGCAACCAAGAATTACCCGTGAAAACCAATCGGGTGCCTTTAGTCGATCGTTCGATCGAGGATTCCTGTTGAATTAAAAGGAAATCCTAACTACAAATTTGGCCAGTTTAAGGAAAATCTGTGAGTTTGCAAAGAAACGGAAGTGGATGATTACGAATACTGTAAGAAGAAGAAAAAGAAGAAGAAACTTATTTAGATTTATGCTCACCATCCCTTTGACATTTCTTTTCTCAAATTCAGCGAATTAGTACTCGTTACAACCTGTCTAAAATCCTCACGAAGATATCGTCTGCATTAATTACATCTCGTTCCGTTACGCTGGGACAAAGACCTCAAAGATAAAATAAGAGATAAATAAAAAAAAGGCGTGTACCAATTAGGGTGGCGTTCCTCGCGTGTGATAATTTCGGCGTCGAGGGCAACGCAAGAATGCGAGCAAATCGAGAGGGAGAGAGCTCGTGCCCAACGGGAACAATAGAGCAGACAGAGAACGAGACGAAAGAATGGGACGGGACGGATCGAAGAAATCGCGAGCGCGATTCCACCCCGCTAAGAGGCACGGGAGGGACACTTCTTAGCGGGAATAAAGCGTCAGCGGAGTGGTGGGGGAAGCTGCGCGACGCGAAGAAAGGGAGGCTTAGAGGGGACCAGAAACGCTCTCCACGTGGATCTGGATTACGCGGCGAGTGTGAAACGTGCCAAGAGGCGCGAAACCAACGACGAAGCGGAGTGGAGGGGATTCCGAAGGTTCTTCAAGAGATCGTCGGAAGGTACACCCCCAACGGAAGGCGGTGTGCAAAGGGAGGGAGGAAGTAGAAGAAGAGATCGTCGAGTAGACAATGCGTCGTCCTACGCGACGCGAGTTAAGCCTCCTCCGGAAACTTCGCCAGTTTCCTCGAGAAGGAGGAGCAGAGGAAGCGCTTTTCGTCCATCCGACTGTTCGGGAGACGTTTAAGCCTCGTTTTGGGTGGATTTTTGGCTGAAGAAATTCCATGGTAAACAAGCAAATGTGAGGATCGCGCGTGTGTGCACATCTTTCGATTTTGTTTTTTGTAGGTCATCCGGTAGAGCATCGATAACATTTGGAATCTTTCTGGTTTCTAAACAAATTTTTCATTATAAATATATACGTGTTCGAAGTTTATTCACGTATACGCGCGTAATGAAAGATTTATTTAGATGCAAATGGGTCAAGAGCAACCAAGTTCGATGAATTTTTTGTAATACATACGCCTGTTTACAGAAATATACGAGTCCCTCGTGACTCGAGTGGAGCATCCTTGGGAAACTTCGCCAGTTTCCTCGTGGAGGTGAGGAAGGGCTTTTCCTCCTGATCGACGCCAAAGGAGGTCTGGGGACGATTTTCCTGACGCTGGAACGAGCCTCCGTGCTCTCGCGAAATTCATTACTTGCGGCACGGGATTGGGGGGGGGGGGGGGGGAGTTGAGATCCTTCACAGCCGACTGTTGCGGCGAAACTGTTATTAATCGACGTGATTCCAGCCGGCACACGCCACAGTTTTCGTTCGACGCTGTTCCCGTGTATATTTCCCATCGTGGGATTCGGTGTTTTATGGGATCGTTTCGTTGGACGTA